AGACAGAGAAAGAGAGAGAGAGACAGAAACAGAGAGAGAGAGAGAGACAGAGGGGGAAGATTTTCAGGCTTGTAGTTTGTCACTTTGCCTGTAGCACAGTGAGAGCTGTGGGTCTGTCCCTCATACTGAATTAGCAAGATGCAATCTCCAGTCTCCCTCAGAGCCACAGGCATCAGGTGTGAGGGACGGCCCCTCTGTAGGTAACAAATATCACCCCCTTCCTTCTCACCCCACCCCAGGGCCAACTTTGGGAAGCACTCAGCAAGAGGCTCACATTGAGGAGAAATCCTGGAACAGAGAGGTCATGGTGTGATTCAATAGAAAAACTGTTCACCCCCAGAGTATCTCACTGCCCATTCTGCCCCTCTGTTGTTACCATTCTGCCCTCTTATTGCCCCTCTGTTATTACCCCTCTCTAGTCTCTCATGCCCCTTTTGATATCTCTTATTTCCTATTGCTTGTGTTTTGTTTTCCCACCCTCTCTAATTGCCCTTTTGTGATCTAGTTACCCTCTGAGCTCTCGGTGTGTCCCTGATTGTGGTTTTAGTAATTTTATCTTCCTCTGTGACCTTTACCCCTTAGCTGATTCCTTTAGAGCTGAGTGTTATTCTTAAGGAAAGAGACTGCAGAAACCCACAGCACTGAGGGATTTGGGAATCTTTGTCCAGGAATCATAAAAAAAAACTACCATCCAACATCAGCGGGAAATCTGGAGGGCAGACAAAGAAAATAGGAACAGGAATAGGCCATTCAGCCTTTCAATCCTGCTCCACCATTCAATATGTTCATGGCTGATCATCCAACCCAGTCCCCTATTCCCACATTTCCCCCATACACTTTAATGCTAAGGGCTGTATCTAATTCCTTCTTGAAAACATTCAATGTTTTGGCCTCAACCACTTTCTGTGGCAGAAAATTCCACAGGTTCCCCACGCTCTGGGTGAAGACATTTCTCCTCATCTCAGTCCTAAATGGCATTCCCTGTATCCTCCCACTGTGATCCCTGGTTCTGGGCTACCTGGTCATTGGGTACATCTGATGGAATGGAATGTTGACCTTTGTTTGATTGGGGTGGCTCAGTGGTTAGCACTGCTGCCTCACAGCGCCAGGGACCCAGGTTCGACCCCACCCTCGGGCGACTGTCTGTGTGGAGTTTGCACATTCTTCCTGTGTCTGCCTGGGTTTCCTCCGGGTGCTCTGGCTTCCTCCCACAGTCTCCAAAGATGTGCAGGTTAGGATGGATTGGCCATGGCAAATGCAGGATTACAGGGATGGGGTGGATTTGGTTGGGATGCTCTTTGGAGGGCTGATTATGGATTTGAAGGGCCAAGTGGCCTGTTTCCATCACTGTAGGGCTTCTACGTGAGGAATGGAGTATAAAAATCAGGGAAGTTTCGCAAAACCTATCCAAGGCATTAGTCAGAGCTAGAATACTGTGAGCAGTTCTGGGTCCCTAATCTAAGGAAAATTGTAGTGGCATTGAAGGCAGTCCAGTGAAAGCTCACAGAGCTGTACAGCACGGGAACAGACCCTTCATTCTAACTCATCCATACTGACCCGATCTCCTAAATTAATCCAGTCCCAATTGCTAACATTTGGCCCATATCCCTCTAAACCCTTCCTATTCATATACCCATCCAGACGCCTTTTAAATGTTGTAATTGTACCAGCCTCCACCACTTCTTGTGGCAGCTCATTCCATACACACACCACCCTCTGCATGAAAAAGTTGCCCTTTAGGTCCCTTTTAAATATTTCCCCTCTCACCTTAAACCTATGCCCCTCTAGTTTTGGACTCCCCAACTCCAGGGAAAAGACCTTGGCTATTTACCCTATTCCAGCCCCTCGTGAGTTTATAAACCTCTACAAGGTCACCCCTCAGACTCCGACACTCCAGGGAAAATAGCCCCAGCCTATTCAACCTCTCCCTATAGCTCAAACCCTCCAACCCTGGCAACATCCTCATAAATCTTTGCTGAACTCTTTCAAGTTTCACATCATCCTTCCTATAGCAGGGAGGCCAGAATTGCACACAGTATTCCAAAAGTGGCCAAAACAATATCCTGTACAACCGCAACATGACCCTCCCAACTCCTATACTCAATGTACTGACCAATAAAGGCAAGTGTACCAAACACCTTCACTATCCTATCGACCTGCGACTCCGCTTTTAAGGAACTATGAACCTGCATTCCAAGGTCTCTTTGTTCAGCAACACTCCCCAGGACCTTACCATTAAGTGTATAAGTCCTGCCCTGATTTGCCTTTCCAAAATGCAGCACCTCACATTTATCCAAATTATACTCCATCTGCCACTCCTTGGCCCATTGGCCCATCTGATCAAGGTCCTGTTGTAAAGGGTCACGAGACTGATACCAGGTATGGAGGGACAGTCTTATGAGGTGGGGTTGAGTATGTTGGTCCTGTGCTTGTTGGAATTCAGAGAGGGTGAGAGGTTACCTTATGGGAAATAGAAGATTTCAAAGGTCAAAGTACAATCCATCTAGGTCAGTGTGGTTTTATGAAGGATAAATCAGGTTTGACTAATTTGCTGAGTTCTTTGAAGATGTAATATGTAACATGGATCATGAGGATCCTGTAGAAGTAGCATATCTGGACTTCTAGAAGCATTTTATAAGGTGCAACATAAAAAGGTTAATACACAAGGTAAGATCACATGGGGTTCAGGATAATTTATTAGCTAGGGAAAGAGGATTGGCCAACCAACAGAAAACAGAGTTAGGATAGAAGGGTCCTTTTCTGGCTGGCAAAGCATAATGAGTGGGCTGCCACAGGGTTCAGTTCACAGGCCCCAACTATTTACAATCTATAT